TGTTAAAGAAACTAAACATAGAAATCAGTACCATTTATAAACTTGGATAATTAAATCTTCTTAAACATTTTAAACTGTATTTATAAATTTAATAGTCAATTTTTATTTTAACATTTCAAATGCCTGCAGAGCAAACTTATCACCTAATGAGCAAAACCTCTCCCAAGTTCTTAAATAACTCCTATAAATCTAACACATTAAACATACAATTATAGCAAATTAATCTTCTTAAACATTCCAATTCCTCAGAAAAAAAAGAAGAGCATTAATACCGAATAAAGTAGGGAAATTGGATAGAGAAGGTGGTATGACTCAGACCTGCTGACAAGAAGCCTTAAAACGTGCCATTAGAAATTGGTACTAAGAGTTCTGGAACTGTCGTCCTCTGAAATCAGAACCGTGGAGCCCTTCAAGAGCAGTATGGAGATTTCTTGGAAAGCTGGGAATGGAGCCACCATTTGACCCAGCTATTCCCCTTCTTGGTCTATTCCCTAAAGACCTAAAAAGAGCATGCTACAGGGACACTGCTACATCGATGTTCATAGCAGCTCAATTCACAATAGCAAGACTGTGGAACCAACCCAGATGCCCTTCAATAGACGAATGGATTAAAAAAATGTGGCATTTATACACAATGGAGTATTACTCTGCATTAAAAAATGACAAAATCATAGAATTTACAGGGAAATGGATGGCACTAGAGCAGATTATGCTAAGTGAAGCTAGCCAATCCCTAAAAAGCAAATGCCAAATGTCTCCTTTGATATAAGGAGAGTAACTAAGAACAGAGTAGGGACGAAGAGCATGAGGAGAAGATTAACATTAAACAGAGATGAGAGGTGGGAGGGAAAGGGAGAGAAAAGGGAAATTGCATGGAAATGGAAGGAGACCCTCAGGGTTATACAAAAGAACATACAAGAGGAAATGAGGGGAAAGGGAAAAATAATACAAGGGGGAGAAATGAAGGTCAATAGAGGGGGTAGAGAGAGAAGAGGGGAGGGGAGGGGAGGGGAGGGGGGATAGTAGAGGATAGTAAAGGCAGCAGAACACAACAGACACTAGTATGGCAATATGTAAATCAATGGATGTGTAATTGATGTGATTCTGCAAGCTGTATATGGGCTAAAAATGGGAGTTCATAACCCACTTGAAGCAAAGTGTGAAAGATGATATATCAAGAACTATGTAATGTTTTGAACAACCAACAATAAAAAAAAAATAAAAATAAAAAAAAAAAAAAAAAAGATACACAGGCCCCAACCCCACCCTGGGCCTATCTAATCTCATCTGCTGTGAATATTTTGAAGAGGTTAACCTGATTCCTGCTGTTGCCCATTTCTCCCCAGGTCTTACACCCTCTGCCTAATGCAGGAATGCAGAGAAGAGCTAGGGGAGGTGAGGGAGAGGTAGAAGGGCTAAGGCAGCCAGGGCAAGATGGAGGTCGGGAGCCGGGTCAGAACAAAGGATCCTGAGAGGGTCTTCTGATGAGGTCAACTTCTTGTCCATGAGCTTGATGAAATTGCTCATGGACACAAGGGGGGGGACCCAATCAGACAGACATTTCTGTACTCCTGCTCCTATACAGGGATCCAATAGAAATACTAAAACAGATGCATGGGACCCATCAATATAATAATGAGAGTGTGGACAGGGGAGGAAATTCCAGAAACCGTAAAAAGAATAGGCCCAAACTCCCCCATCGGATTCCCAGCTCTGGGGCCCCTTCTCTTCAGAGAAGTCTGTCTCTTTCACAATAAACCTACTTCTTGCTTGCTATCTCTATGGCCTGTTCTTCAATTCTTTGCTGAACAGCAACAAGGAACCCAGAACCCCTAGACAGTAACAGAGGGATGCAGATTTGCTAGAAATCATCTAGGGGAAATGGTCTCCCACGGAGCCAATGTTTAGCAAGTAGTGCACCAAGAAGAGAAGTATTACAACAGAAATGACAGAAAACTAACATGTATCTAGCTATATGTCTAGAATAACATAACAAAGTCATAGAACTTACCTTAGGACACTTGAAAAGCCAAGGGCTTGGTTTTTTTAAAATATTATTTTTTAGTTATAGGTGGACACAATATCTTTATTTAATTTTTATGTGGTGCTGAGGATCGAACCCCATGCCTCACACATGGTAGGCGAGCGCTCTACCTCTGAGTCACAACCCCAGCCCCAAAGGCTAGGTTTTACACACACACACACACACACACACACATACAGAGACAGAGAAATCCAACACTGAAAATATACTTTTGATTTTTAAAAAAAATTTATTATTATTATTATTATTATTAGTTGTTCAAAACATTACAAAGCTCTTGACATATCATATTTCATACATTTGATTCAAGTGAATTATGAACTCCCATTTTTACCCCGTATACAGATTGCAGAATCAACTCTGAAAGATGTGGTGAGGGGTTAATTAAGACTATTTACAGGTTCATTTAGGGTTCTAGACTTATTTAAATAAAAAGATGTCACTGTCCTGAATAATACACACACAGACACACACACAAAAATTATATATATATAAATTATATATATATAATATTATATATATATATATTTTTTTTAAATATATATATCTCCAAGACTGAGTGAGGCCCAGTAGGAGTTGTGGGGGAAATTTGGACAATGTTCCTTTCCTCCGTACTGTAGAATTTTGTCGAGGAGATGAGACTCACCCACATACAACAACACAGAACTATATAAGACTGTGTGCCATCCATTGCAAGGCAGAGCCTCTGTTCCAGTAGGGGAGGAGATGGGGGAGGGTTGAAGAGATCAGATTGAGATTTATGGGATTTACAGAAATACAAAGACCTCAGCTGGATCTCAAACAATGGTTAGGACTTGGACCCCAACCCAGACACACAGGCCTATACGGACCCTGAAGAAAAGGGCCATTAGGGAAATACTAATGGTTTTGGTTTAGCTGACCACATTTTACATAAAAATATCAGAACACATGGTCTGACACATGGTCTAACAACAGGAAAGAATGTTTTAATTGGGGCTGTCCCAAAAAATCTAGAACATATGGCTACTGTATTTACAGGCCAAGAAAATCCTAATTACAAGAGAGAGCCCAACTGACCAACCCTAGGTAGATAAGACACAGCACTGCCATCCCAGACGCTGCTAAAACTGTTTCCCTGTAGTCGTATATTCTTTGTGAATGTTTCTGTTAATATTTTCAAAGTAAAGGTCAGCGCCTGGACAAAGAAAGGCAAGCAGGAGAAATTCTATTCAGATTTCTTACATTACATTTTTAATACTCTCTCACTTGCCTCAAATAATTCTTGTGCTAGGCAGTGTATAAATAATGAATTTGAAAATGTTTCTTCCACCTGGAGTAACAACATAAAATCCAATTTAAAATTTTTTCCTCTTAAAAGAAAAGAGAACATCTATACCTCGCAAATTTCCTGCGCTTGTTATCAGAATTCTCATTCATATTGAAACATACATTTTCAAGTACCAAGATTGTTATATGTAATTTTTGCTCTTTCTTTCCTTGATGTCTCGCTGTTTTTTCATTAGTAGCTTGCTGTCTGAAGTAAAATACATGCCAGAAGTGTCCTTATCCAGTTTTGCAATTTAATAATCTTAGCAATTGTTGGAAACGAAACTGTTTTAGGGGCTTGAACTCAAGTCTTGGCCAGTTAAAATTTAAATTTTTTTTTCTTTTTTAGTTGTTGGAAGACCTTTTATTTATTTATTTATATGTGGTGCTGAGAATCGAACCCAGTGCCTCATACATGCCAGGCAAGTGCACCAGCACTGAGCCCCAGCCCCAGCCCAGGTTAGACATCTTCCATTTCACCTTTCCACCCATCTCAGAGCACAGAGATCATTTGCCAACTCATTCTCAATATTATCAAGGAAGTGCACATTTTCATCTTTTATGGTCAGTGAATACATTAACCAAGATGATGTGGCAATCATCAGTGATAGATAACAGCAAAGTCACACATTGTAGCAACTCTTTTTCTTTGCTTCTTGAACAGACTCTCAGATGCATTTAATATATCTATGCGTTTCTGGTAAAAGCAAAAAGATATGTTTTTAATGAGATTTCTTGAACACCAGATTTGTCTTTCTTCCTCTTTTTTAAAAAATCTTCTATTATTGTTTGAGGCCTCAAAAAACCTGGATAACTTTATACAGACAGAGCTCAATTTTCATTAGTTACAGTTATGAAAAGTCAGGACACATTAACACACAACAATAGAAAGGGAATGTTTTACAACCAATAAATTTTTTAAAAAATTGTATTTAGCTTTAAAAGAATGGAAATTCTGGTACATGATCTAACATGGATGAAGCTTGAAGACATGTGAGGTATAATAACACAGAAGTAAAAGGACAAACACGGGATGAATTTACTAAAACGAAGTACATACATGTGACCAGTTATCCCAATCCATAGTATATACCCAAAAGATTTAAAGACAGCATACTACAGTGGTGCAATCATGTCAATTCACAATAATTAAGCTATGGAACCAAAGTAAGTGCCCTTTAATAGATGAAGGAGTAAAAAAAAATGTGGTAGATATACATAATGGAATATTACTCAGCCATAAATAAGAATGACGTTATGACATTTGCTGGTAAATGGATGGAGCTGGAGACTATCATGCTAAGTGAAATAAGTCAATCTCAAAAAACCAAAGGCTGAATATTTTCTCTGATATGTGGAAGCTAACCCACAGTAAGAGGGTAGGTGAGGGGAAGAATAGAAGTGCAGTAGATTAGACAATGGAGAATGAAGGGAAGGGAAGAGGGATAGAAAAGGAAAGACAGTGGGATGAATATTACATAACTCTCCTATGTACACATATGAATACACCACAGTGACGCTCACCATCATGTACAACCACAAGAATGGGGTCCTAATTAGAATAAGATATATTCAATGCTTGTATATCAAAATAGATTGTGCTGTCATGTATAACTAAAGAGAACCAATATTTTTTTTTTAAATGAAGTATCCAGAGCAGTCAAATTCATCAAGACATTAAATAGAATGGTAGCTGCCACGGGCTGGAGGAAGAAGTGACGGGGGAGTTCAACGGTAAAGTTTCAGTTTTGCAATACAAAAGGAGTTCTGGAAATAGTGGCAATGATTGCTTCACAATGGAACTTAATGCCTTGTATGAACTGTATCAGAATGGTTAAATGGGGGACTAGGGTTGTGGCTCAGTGGTAGAGCACTTGCCTAGTATGCATGAGGCACTGGGTTCCATCCTCAGCACCACATAAAAATGAAATAAAGGTATTGTGTCCACCTACAACTAAAACATAAATTTTTAAAAAATGGTTAAATTGCAAGCTTTAGGTCACACACATTTTACAATAATTTTTAAAATAAAAAATGTAATTGTGAAAAAATGTCTAGATATTGATATTGCTGATTATTTGCGTGAGTAAAAACTCTGTCCCTATTCTATAAAGTCTCTGGAGAACTGCATACTCAATAAATGGTGTGTCAGTCATTTTCCTGGTCTCTGTGCATAAATAAATATTAATACATTTTAATATCCTTTTAAAAATCCAACTATAGCTAAATTTCTAAGGTGTTTACTATATACTGTGTAGTGGTCTAAATATTAAAATTCTTACAACATCCCTGAGAGATTTTTTTTGGGGGGGGGTACTGGGATTGAACTCAGGGGCACACTAGACCCCTGAGCTACATCCCCAGCCCTATTTTGTATTTTTTTAGAGATGGGGTCTCACTGAGTTGCTTAGCGCCTGGCTTTCTTCTGGGGCAGGCTTTGAACTTGCGATCTTCTTGCCTCTGGGATTACAAGTGTGTGCATCACTGCGCCCTGCTATTCCTGTGAGTTTTTACATATGATGTAACTAGTCTCAGAAAGGTAATTTGCCCTCTGTCACCAGCCAAAAGTGGTGAAGCTGGGGTAAAAATCATGAATTCTGACTCCAGTGCCCACAAATCACAGCATTTTTCTAAAACTAGGTTTTTAGAAAACAAAGGAGAGTAGGACAAGTATTACTATCCTCATGGGCAAATCTTTCATTTCCTCCATAAACATTTATTAAGCACTTACTGTGTTCTGCGCAATGGGCCAAGAACTAGAGATTAATGAGACTAATAGGATATAGTCTAACAATCCAAAAAAAGAGGGAAATAAGTGAAAGATACATGACAAGGTGCAGTAAAGAAGCCTGTGGGTGCCTTAACGAGGAAAGGCTCAGTTCTACCTCGAGTGGGTCACTTTGCCTATTTCCCCCCTTTTGTATACTCTTGGAAACATTCCTTAATTTCACTGGAATTTAATTTCACACAGATTGGGTCGAAGGAAAAAGTAAAACAAGCATCAGAAGATACTTGAGGATACAAGATAAAAGAGGATAGAAAAGTCTAGACAGTCTGTATTAACATCAGGAGACCAGCTAGAAAAGCTAGAGGAGAGTAATTGGGGGTGGGGGTAATAAAAAGACCAATGTAAGCAATATTTAGTATATATCTAAAATAGTAGGGTCATCTACAAAAGAATTCAGGGACATGTACTTTATTGTCAAGGAGGCTATAATCTGAGTGCCAAACAGTATATAAATAAAGCAGCACACTTTCCAGGCAATAATTCACAAGGGCAAATGAGCATAACGTAGAAGATAAGTAAGCATTAAGCAGGGACAAGATCCCAGAGGGTTGGGTTCCATTTTTTAATAAAGGAGGTGTCATGCTGGGGAAGAGAAACAAGGGTATTGCCAGCAGAGAAGAGCAACCACGTGGCTATCCTGATGGAATCAACTGAGTCCTATGAACCTACCAAAGAGCCTTCAGAGGGAGCAGGTGGTGGCAGAGACTGTGCTACAGGGACTATTCACAGACGACTTGGAGGAATCCAGGGGAATAAGAAGTACTTCTAGGTTAATGGAAGAACACCAAAAATATCCTTCCAAAGTTGCACAAATTTTAATTTTGCTAGCCGTAGAAAAGAGGATCGCTGCTATTGTGTGGATGGAATAAGCTGGAGGCTGAACTTCAAATAGATAAGAGGTCAAGTGTGTCCTTTATTAAAATGTCACCCACAGAAGAGCTCCAAGTTGTCATAGAGAACTCACTGTTGACTCTGAACTAGACCTTGGGTAACTGACTAGAGTTAAGCCTGGAGGCAGCATGGGAAAAGGGCAAGAAGGCCAGAGACCATCAAAGACAGGAAGTCGGCACTGCAAAATCTAATAATAGCAGCTCTCAAATATTGCACACATCACTATGCAGCAGGAGCTACTGCAAGAGCTCTCTGAGGATTCACTCGCTCCATCTTTGCAATCCTCCTGGAAGGGAGAAGTTCTGGAGCTGCCTCCACAGCCCAGGCCCTTCCTCACTACACTACCCTACCTTTCCACAGCTGCTCAAGTGATTATGGAAAATCCGATCCCTTCTTGGCCTGGAGGGGCAATGGATTGTAGGCATGCATGCAATATAACAAACATTTTCCAATTGTGATTCATGCAGCCTCCAGAAGCTGCTTTATTTTTAACAAATTTATTTGTAGACAGCCACATGTCATGAAGGATTTGAGAACAAATGAGAATGAGAGGTTTGTAGGAAGCAGATCGTGAATTTAGTTAGAATCTACACGGTATCAAAAAAAAAAGTAATCTTCTGAATTTTGAATATTATTGAAAACGAGTCACAGAGAAGTTATTAGCCTGGGCAGAATTTATTCATTCCCCAGACCTCTGTTTGTTTACAGCTCTAGGGACTTAGAATCAGCCAAAACCTTCTTGGGAATCATGACATACTCATCTGGGAACTCAGGAGGTATCAATTCACACCACAATCTGTTCTCTGAAAGATAATGAATGACTTTGTAATATCAGCCATCAAAGAATAAATATTCATTCTCTGACACTGAAGAGAAAACAAATTTTAAATGTCAGTTGCATTTCATCAAAACTAGATGAAAATGTGTTTCACTCCTGTTAATCTGTGAAATAAAGAAGCTACAAAATGTACAAATACACTGAGGAAAACTGAAATCAGCAAGTATCAAAATCCAGTCAACACAACACTGTTTTCTAAAAGTTAACACTGTTTTCTAGAAGTTAAGTGCTGAGAGTGCAAGAATAATGTTTGGTCTCAGCTTTTTAAGCCCTTCTTCCTGATGTGATGGTCATGCTAGATGTTATGGGCCGAGCTGTGTCACCCTCAAAATTCACAGCTTGAAGTCCAAACCCCCAGTACCTTAGAATGTGACTGTATTTGGAGATAATACCTACAGAAGTAATTAAGTTAAAATGAGGTCATTAGCGTGGACCCTCTCCAACAAGACTGGTATCACCAAAAGGAGAAATATGGATACAGACACACACAGAGGGAAGATGATACAAAGAAAAAGAGAGAAGACCACCATCTGCAAGCCAGGGAGAGAGACTCTGGAGAAACCAATGTTGTTAACACCTTGATCTTGGACTTTTAGCCTTCAGAATTGTGAGAAAATTCATTTCTATTGCTTTAAGCCACCTAAGTGTGTGGTACTTCATTATGGCAGCCTTAGAAAACTAATATGCTGTAGCTCTCACTGGGATGCAAGATTGTGAGGGCCAGCGTGAGTCTGAGGTCTGGGTGTCTGCTTTGCCCTTGATTCCCAGAACATATGGTGCAGCCTGGTATACAGCAGACTCTCAGGAAATACTGTTGAGTGAATAGCTGACTGTAGCTAGAAGTTGTGGCCCATTTTACCAGAGTAAGGGAATTTAACCATTACCAAAAGTGATCAAAGAGAACTTTATTCCCTTACCAAAGAATAAGTTTCAATTCATCTATTGTGGGAAAAAAATGGAGAGCTGTATAAAAGAGGGGGGAATCACTAAAACCCTGTCACTTAGGGATAACTACTTTAAATTGTGATGTTTTCTAATCTTTTTCTATACAAACACAGTAGAAATAGTACTAAACCACTTATCATTACAAAGCATTTTCCCCACATCATTAAAAATTCCTCATAAACTTTTTTAATGACTATAAAAATTACACTGTCATATATATCTTTCACTGAAATTCTCATAGCTTGACGTCTGTATTTCTAGCCTTTGCTATCATAATCAGCACTGTAATGAATATGTTTACGTGAGAAAGCTTTCGTTCACTTTTCTGAACTCTTTAAAGAATGGCATCCTGACACTCAAATATCAGTTCAAAAGGTATGGCCATTGTCAAGTCTTTCGATGGACATCCTTCTATTGCTTTTTGAAAAAATTACATCAATTTATATTCTACAAGCAATCCATAAAATTTCCCTCTACACTTTTACCCTTTTACGTACAAACCTTGTTAATTATAAGAGATAAAGTGGGGTCTTAGTATCATTTTAATTTGCATCCTTTAAATATTACTGAGATTTCCATTCCCCCCCTCCCCTGCATTAACCATTCCTACTTTTGCCTGTTGAACTGCCTGTGTGTGCCTTTCCATAGGGGCTTCTCAGAACACTTTTGATGAAGTACTTTTTTTCTAGCTAGGCCTCTACGGCAATATTGCCTGTCCTTCAACAAAAGCCTCTACTCCCCAAGTTAATGAGACCGCACATTCTAGAGCCATCCCAGAATCTTATCATGGGTTGATAGGATGTAATGAAATCTTCAGTGTTCTGAATAGACAGGGAATCATGTTCCAATTATTCTCCTCCTACTAACAAAATTCGGATACATCAAGTGCATATAAATGTATTTAATTTAGCTTTCTAAGTATGAAATCAATATTCTTTGCGGAATGAAAAGAAAGTTTCCACTTAAAAAAAAAACAGAACTTTTGTGGGGAAAGCAGATAGCTCTCTCTATTTTCAACATAATTTTGGCATAAGATACCTCTTTCCCAGCTGCATTTATTAAATTCAGGACACAGAGGAAATTAAAAATACGTACATCTTCCAACTGATTTATTCTAAAATTCACATCCATAGTAAAGCAAAATGTTGCATCTTGAACAGAGGTCTTCTAATCAAATACCTATATGTTCAGATGGGAAGAAGCTCAGCAGACATTTTTGAAAAACAGTAGTTGGTGGCAGAGGCTGCTTTTGAAAGAGAAATCAATGAGAGGGGCTAGAGTTTTCAGGATATCCGTGATATTGAACGGGTGCAGGGAAGGCAGGTGTATATGGTGAAGAAAGACCATGCAACTCGGAATTTTTTGGCATGATTCCCTTTCACTTCCTGGCTTTGTCAGCCCTCACACGTCCTTGCTCCCTCTTTTCATGGTCACAGTGTAAGAGGTATTCCTGTGCCTTCTGAGGATGACCCCACTTCTGCCTGCTCCGTCCTCTCCCCTCACACCTCCGGATGTCATCTGTCCCTTCCCTCTCTTGCACTGTCGTTCTTCCCTCTCCATCTGTTCCTCAAACTAAAAATACATTTGATTTTCCCCTTCCTAAAAAAAAAAAAAAAAAAAAAAACTTCACTCCAGGTTTTCTAAGCTAATAGTCCCCAATTTGTCCCCTTTTCAGACTCCTTGAAATGTACACTTTGTTTTACTT